TTATATAAAAAAATTATTTATTAATGTACATATGTATGTCCCAAAGCTTAGTAATTGAGGTTTAACAACTTAACAGGTCACTCCTGACAAACTCAAACCAGTGCTTTACAATCTCAGCATAGACATGATCTCAATGAATCTAAAGCTTGCCTAGAAATCCCTTGGATGTATTCACCAATTTGTAATTGCTTTGGAGACTTCTAAAGCAGAAAAATAGTTACAGCCTTATTAGAACTTGCTCTTCAGTTTTAATCAAGAGCTTCACAATATACCTTCTAAATCACGAACAGCTAAATCTCCAAGGCTGTCTGCATTTGATATATCAACCATACTAAGCTTTTCAGAAGACGGGAAGGAGTAAAGAGTGTCTCTCTTAAACCATAAGTTCCAAAATGGAAGTCATTTTATATTGGCTTAACAAAAACAGCTGAGATGGTTTGAGTGTTAACTATCACATAACAAGGGGTATATTCTGAGCAATAACTGATAAATCATTCTTTTTAATAACAGAAAAATTGAAATATTCTTTTGACTAATTGAACTGGTTAACTGAGAACAGTTTCTTGCTTTCAGAAATTGAGGAGGCCCAATCCAACTCCAGAATATTGAAATGAAGAGAGCATTTTTCAGTCTAGCTCATTATAACATTCTGTAGCTAAATATTTAAAACAAAACCAGCAAGATCCACCCCCCCCAACATTTAAAGAGATATCTGAAACAAATTCAAGATGAGCATTCACATTTTTTGTGTGTTGTTATACCACTCTAACCTAAGAATTACTATTTGCAAGTTAAGTATTGTAATGAGTAGACTCAAGATGCAAAATAGAGCAGTGAATTTGAAGTTGCCAATAGCTTTTATCTAGAGTTTCCAGGTACTAAAAGATGTCCTTTAAGCAAAGGAAACAAGTGTGAAGATTTTAGTCAGGCCTTCTGAATCTTAAGTCTGGAACTTAGATAATGTTATTATCCATCACATCTTCAGTATCAATTTAAAAGGTCTCACACTACTTGTACACCTAAAAATTAACATTTGTACATTACTTAATTCATCCCCTTTATAAATATTTTGTTGGAACAGGAATGGAATTGATGCACAGGCAATATGGACATCCTCCTAGAAAAATATCAGAATCTAAAAGAAAACTATTACTTGCTTTAAAAAAAATTAAGTAGCAATATTTGACAAAATTCAAAAAACAGTACTGCTGAGAAATTAAATTCCCTTATGGGCTCCTTTAGGAGGGCAACTGCATATTCCATTTGAATATTCCAAGTCAGTCAAACGCTATAAATATCTCCAGTTTTTTGCTACTTAATTCTCCAGTTCTCCATAACTGGTTGGTTCCTGAATGTGTCTTTCTCTATGTAATCAACCTACACAACCCTCAAAAAAAGGACACTAAAACATGTGGTGTATGCATCATCCTACCCAACTTTGTCAGTGTCTACACCCCAGCTACTACCTACAGTAGAAAAAAGTGTGGTTCTAGAGTGTGGTTCACCCAAATGCAAACTTTATGATATACACTGCACCCTGGAAATGCTTCTTTCACCATCTGCTATGGATAGAATATAAGCAACTAGCTCAGATGCACAGATCTGCACTGCAAACATTAAGCAGCCGAGTAAGAAGAAACCTCCCTGGATAGCTCATCGTGCTTAAGACTTCAGTAGCAAAAGACTGAATGTCATGGCCAGGAACATCAGGCCAGTCCTAAGCTCACTTATGTGTCACATAAATGTAAGAAAGAAACAAGATTAAAATCCTATACAGAAGCTGGCAGTAATCATGCTTTATTTTATAAAAAGCAATCCAGAGGCCAAACTTAGCATCTCCAGCCTACCTTACCTAAATTCCCAACTTCACTTTCAGTGATTTCCTGGAGTTCTACCAGTTCTTTTCAGTTTGTCACAATGTTTAGCTCTATCAACAATTATTGAACTTAGAACGCAAGTTCATCCATTGACAATTTTTTTTTTTTTTTTTAAAACAGAGAATCAAGGTCTGTGACAATGAACATTCAATCTCATTGAATGGACCTGTAAATTTATTGACACTAACGCAAACCCCAGAAAGCTGGTACACTGAACGCATAATGCACTTTTCAATAGTTGTGTAATTTCCATTATTTCCAAGAAAACAATATGAAATCAAGAAGAAAGTTTAAGAAATGTAACAAGGAACAAGAAAGGAAGATTCATTTAAGTCACCAAGATCAAGTATAATCCACTCATGGAATTTTATGATAGTGTCAATAAGCATAAATAAAGAAGATCTACAAAGTTTACATAAAAGCCTTTGATAAGGTTTCACACCAGAAGTTATTTACGAAGCTGCCCTGGGATAGAGGAAAGGTTCTTGTGTGGATTGAAGCTGATTCAAAGACAGAAAAGCAAAGGTAAGACTTCCTGGTCACTCTTTTAGGGTGCAGAAGCAAGTGATGAGGACTGATGACTGGCATCAGTTTTATGCACCACCATCAGTATGCATGAGAAAGGAGTGAAGAGCACGTTCTTTGCTGACAATACCAAGCTCTTTGGGTAGTAAGCTGCCATGCTGATAATGAGGAACTCCAAAAGAACCCCAGAGAACTCTGTAAATAGGCAAAAAGGTGGCAAATAAGCTTCACCAGAAACATGTCAGGTAACACACCAAGGAAAGAGTAGCCTAAGCCATACTAACGCTCTATTGATCTCTGAACTAGCCATTACAGCTCAGAAAAGAGATACTGAGGTTACTGCCAACAGATCTTTGAAACTGTTACTTGATTATGCACTGGCAACCAAACACAAAAAAATGTGCTGGGCATCACTAGGAAGGGCACTTCAAAAAAAAAAACACCCAAAACAAAAAAAAACCCAACCCCAAACACCACAAACCAACAACAACAAAAAACCCAGAACCACAAAACCCAAACAAACACCAACCCACCACCACCACACTACACAAAACATTGAGGACTGCTGTATTAAACTTTGCTTCCCCCACATCATGAGTATGGCACATCTGACCTCTGCATCTTGAGGAGGACACAGTTAGAAGTTACAGAGAAGGGCAACAAAAATTATCACAGAAAGGGAGGAACTGCTTTACGAAGAAGTGTAACAAGTCCAGAAACTGTGTGATTTGGAGAGAAGGCTGAGAGATAAGATCAAGTTTTACAACATCACAAAGCCAATGGATAAGGCAAATAAGGGTTTTGCTTTCATTATCATGCTAAGACTAGGTGACACTCAACAAAACTAACTGGAGATAGTTTAACACAGGCAAAAGAAAGTACTTTACAAAACAGCTGGTGAACTTCTGGGACTTGCTGCCACAAAAGACTATAGGGTTGACAATATCAGCAGGTTACTTAGGGCTGACAGCTCTATAAAAAAAAACAAAAAGCCTAGACGGGAACATACCCTCAAACACGTATAACGGATCTAGGTGGTGGGAGAAATACAGGGAAATGAACAGGGAAGGTGGCCTGGTTTGCAAGTTCTCCTTGAATTTTACCTCCTATTGCCATTAGCTGCAACAAAATATATACTACAGGGACTGTTCATCTGAACCAGCACGGTATTCTTTTAATTTATGAAAATGTAGCTGAAATCCTCAGAAATAACTGCTAATTTGTGGAAGAAGTGTTTAATAGATATGGACATTCTTCCTTACTCTCTGGCTTACCTCAGCCTAACACATGAAATAAAACCTACTTGTACTTTTGTGCTATCACTAGGGGTGGGGACCACCTGCTTCACGGACAGACCACATGCAAAAATTACAGCATGGATACAAGGCTAGCATACTTGAGATTGAGTTTAAAAGCCTTACCATACCTCATGTAGACGGACAGACACAGACCCAAAAGACCTCAGAATGCACCACCTTTGAGGAAGTAAAGCTATCCATTCACTTGCTTCCCTACCCTAGATAATAAGCATTTTGATGTTGAGATAGTCAAAAAATCTCCACAGCAGTATTTATGCTCTATTAGAGTTACCCTCAGTGCTTTATTTCCAGAAGATTTCTATACTCTTCACAGGCTAAAAGGGATATCAGAATTCAAACACCATGGTCAAATCACAGTACAATAGTCAAGCCATGGTAACTGGCCACACACACACAAAACCTACAGGAAAACCCAGATCTGCACTAACTTCTTTCTTTTTACCCTGCATTGGTATGAACAAACAACAAGTAGCTAACTCAAGGTTATTTGAATTCTTTGCTAAGAGTTTATCTCCACCTTTTAGACTCATGAACACTCAGTGGACTTTTCAGCCTTTAAAAGCAGCATGCAATGAGAAAATTTAACTAAACTGCTCACTTCCAATATCCAACTGGTTAATCACCTTTTGGATTTCAAAATTCATCTCTGCCATAACATTCAGCAAAAGGCTACATTATACATATATTAGACTAAATTATATACAATAAAATACATACATGCCACATTTCATGTGTTTCCCATTCATTACACTTACCTGCATTTCCTCTTTTGTGAAACTGGCTGCTTCATCTCCCAGCTCGTGTAGATACATGCAGTCTGGTTTTGGACACTGCATATTTTTTAGAAAATAACTGCAATATTTTGTTGTACCTAATGATGCCTGAAGAAAAAAAAATCATTAGTTAATTACTGGAGTTTAATAACACCTTTTACAGTATAAGAAAAAAAAAGCTGTATTTGCAAAAAAAAAATCCTTCCCAAGATTTGGAGTTCTATCATAATGCATTTTTTGATGCAGATGGACTAGGAAGTCCATTTGTAAGAAATCTATATCCTTGAGGATTAGATAATTAGGGTGTATTTCTATTTTCATCCAATCTAAATAAACACCAAAATAAGAGCCTCAGTAAATACTTGCATTCAAAATCATAAGAAGTCAAATAAGTAGTTATGAGTTTGTATTACATGAAACTGAGTAATGTTTTGTAGCAGGGTCAGGAAATGAGTATTAACTAGATGATTTTCTATAGCCACCGATTTGGCGAAGTCAGCCTGAATACCTGTTTACACAGATACCAAAACAAAAAAACCTTGCATTTCCCAGGGAGCTTTTGAGAGGTGTGGTGTTTGGACTACAGAAATGCTCTGTAAAAGCAAATAATCAGGTTTTCACACTATGCTATTAAGCTATACAGCTTTTGCAGCCACTGTGGGAAAGGGGAGATGGCGCATCTCATTCTTTGTCTCAAACTTTCATTTTAAGAAGTTACCTGCTAACCCCCTAAAACACTGCCTGCTGGAAGCTCACTGAACTTCCACGTTGTGCTTAATGCTAGGAAAACAGGTCAAAACCCAATACCGAATGAAGTGGACATTTTCATTCATCAACACAAGCATATCCATACAAATAAAATTTTACACTATGCACTGATATTAGTGTCCTAGCACATATACATAAGAATGTAAAAATATTACCACCTTAAGTGTTCTGCCGTCTACCACCACATTATTGACACATTGTATGGCTCGGAGAGCATCTTCTGACCGGATGTAGGTAACATATGCACTGGCACTTGGACCCTAGAAAAAAAAAAACATACCATTTTTTTTTTCCCTCCCCACAGACAGACCAGAACACTAAGTTGCTTTTTTAGCAGCTCACTTCATAAACTGGAATATTCACAGCTAGATGTTTTTAACAGGAAAACTGAGAAAAATGGTAGAATTCATAAAAATTTAGATGTTATGCATAAAGACTGGGGAAAAGAAGAAATGCATCAAAATGTTGCTTAAAGTTCTAAAAACACTTAAAGTTATTTGATCCCTGAAATGCATGTTAGTGAATAAATGCCACATTGCTGCTTCTTTGAAGGTTCTCATCCTGTCTCCCCGTTTTTAATCTTTCTACATTGCATCTTGCATCCAACTTTGAGAGTCTAGTTGGACAATGCCTCAGTAACTTAACAGTAATTTGATTTTTGCAATGCTGTATTTTTTTTCTTTTTACTACTTTCACCTGTTGCTCAATCAGAAATAGGAAGCCCCAGATTCACTCTGCACACATGTACTTTCTCTAAAGGGATAAAAAACCCACAAGGGCCTCTGACTTACCTGTGAGCCTGCATATGATGTGCTGTTATTAATGACAACTTTATGTATTTTACCAAACTTCCCAAAATATTCTGGTCGTTTCAAAACCTACAAGAAAAGAAAGTTAAAGTGGTATACTGGAAAGTTAATTCATACAGGGCTGTACTTATTCTTCTGTGTAACTGTGCAACTAAAGCCTTTAACTAATAAAAACCAGGTCCCTTCTACAAAGAGAAGAACATGTAGATGTAGATTTGTTTTCCAATGTAAAACATGGTTACTTGCAATACAGAGTATGTTGCCACTGCAGTAAAGAATGTAAGTGAGGGGTATTCCACATTTTATGTTGTATTTTTAAAATTTCTTTCAGTACTCAGATTACCCAAACCCTACCCTGGCAAGATACATCCCTTTCAGCATGAAATATTCCTGTACATATTTATTTTATAATTTGAGGAAAAAATAAAAATCACATTCATTCCAGTTTTAAAATAAAGAACCACCTTATACTTGCATTCAGATGTATTAACTGCTAGGAAAAAAATGCTGAATCCTGACTCACTTGCCCCACTCCAAATAGAGGGAGAGTAAACCAATTAGCTCGAGACAGCCTCAAGTTTTCAGAAGACCAGTTTCAGGGACTAAGTACAGGAAGACAATATATGACACTTCCCAGGGGCAAGAAAAACGTTTCAGAATCAAGATCATGCTGAAATGAATGAGTGACTATCACATCCCTGAAGAACAAAAAACAAAACTCCTCTCTTGTCCTTCCTTGCATCAGTTATTACTAACATACCATTTAGGGATCCTGTGCAAAGCATCTCTAGCATATTAAGCAACTCGGTTGAGTAACAGTTACCTGTGTGCCAATAGAATTGGCAATGTATGTCAAAAGCCTTTCTTTTTCTATCCCCATGATGGACAGAGGTGCAGAAGTACTGACTACTCAGGCTGAAGCTGGGTAAGCTAAGGGTATTTCTAGTTCTAGACAGTAACCTGAGAGTTTATAAATGAAGATTTGTTTCCCCAACTCCGTCTTCATATTAACACTGGACAGTACAGTTAAACTGTACTGATCCAAGAACTTCTTTACCTAACCACCTCCTCTCCCTTCTCAAGGGAGCATCACTGTCTTCAAGATCTAACAGCATTAATCACATTTGGAACATCCTGTAGAACTACAGGGCATGTTGTATAGAAAACCAGTCACACACTGGTCTCTGAGTGCTCTTCACTTGATCTACACTCTCTTGAAAGATCCTACACCCACTGGCAGGCATCATTCCAGAGGAGACTGACAATCCTGAGCAAAATGGAAGAGTTTCTTCAAGTGTCTTCCAGATTACACTCCTGATTAAGATTATGGCAGCATGGCCTTCACACTTGTCACAAGAGCATGTCAACAGAAGTGGATCCACCTGTACTCCATTTTGATCCACAGATCTATTTCCAGAAACAGCAAAGAGCAGCCAGTCTGCCCTTTCCAAATCATCTTTATTTGTGCAGGAGGTTTTTTTGCCTGCTTAAGTGGAAAACTTTAATTGAATATATCTTCTCATATGTCAATGAGAATAGTACTCCCACCAAACCTAGGAACCCCTCCCTTACTACACCAATAAACCCACTTCTAATTACTTCAAGTATTCAGTGTGGAATTATTTGAGGTTAAAAAAAAAAAAACTGCACATACTACTATTTCTCTTACTCACAAATCGTCTATCTGGTCAAAGAAATCAAGTACATTTTTCAGTAATAAATAGCCCCAAGCCAGTGTTGACAGTTACTTGCAAATACTTGTTGCTATATTCGTGTAGAAACTGGAGTGTTATACACCAGATCAGCTCCCTTCATATCCCCCCTTTTTTCCCCTCCACTGAAAGCTGCTTTTTACATTTGTTCTTTCCCACTCTACCAAAATGCAGCCCATACTCTGTGAGTCCTCAGAAACAGCCACCTCTATTTGAGATTTCCCCAGACAATTTAGTCTGGTCAGGTGAATTTAACTTGACACAGTAGTTTTGAAAACATCTATCTTACCCTGTAGTACCTTCCCTCCATATTCTAACTCAGGGTACTTTTACTCATTAGAACTAATTCCATTAGCCACCTGCAGCTGACTGATGATGGAAGTAAATAAAACATTTTAAACACAGTCAGTTTTCTCAAATGAAAAGGTTCTTTTTGATGATGCAGAGTAGCAAGCCAACTCTTTCCTGGGTCTTCCTCTTACTAATTTTTTTCCCCTCAACTGACATCACCATTATGCTCCTTCCTAGTTACACATCAAGTGTTGGCTTTTTATTTCTGTCCCTACAGGTTTGTGCTACACTTTATATTTGTTCTTGATAATCCAACCAAGCTCCCATTTTAGAATTGGTGGTGCACAACACAGCTGTATAGTTCCAGCCTAGGAAAATAAGTACCTAAAAAAATCCTTAACCTTATTTTTACTTTAACAACAAGCCATTTTTAAACAAATACAAAGAACAATTTCCTTAAAAAAATAGAGCATCTGTACTCCCAAAAGCAAAGACAAACACTTATTGAGGTTATGTTGGAGGAGGAAGCTGAGTAGGTTCCCTGAAGAAGAGGGGGCCTCAGCAGCAGTGAACCTTTTCAGTGATGCTTCATTTCGTACTCATCAGGGAGACAGACATGGGTGGGCACACGGGTATTGCAAATGATTCTTTACAGTAAGTTAAGAGCAAGATCTGCAAGTGTGA